CCCTTCAGGGTGGTGGTCCCCATGGGGGTGCCTGGCCAGTCTGGGTGAGGGGCTGAGTGCTGTTTTCAGGCTGGTGAGTGACTGAAGCTCCCTACCGCTCCTTTTTTTCTTTTATTCTGGGCCAGCTTTAGCTCTGGCTCCAGCTCTGAGGCCTCTGCTGCTGAAAGCAGGTATCTGGTTTGTTTGGGTTCTATAATCGAAACAATGTCTAACTCCAGCTCTGAGATCCTGGCTCGCTGAAAGCTGGTTTCTGGGGTTTTGTTTAGCTTCTATATTTGTTACAATGTTTCAAACTGCAAGCTCAGAGGCAGGCCAGGCAGGTGGGGGACGTTGATTTCCTCCCTCACTGAAGCAAGCAAGCCTCATGTTAGTTTCAAGCTGTCTGGCTGCCGGCCGCCATTTTGGCTGGCACTTAATTTGCATATCGCCCTGATTAGCCAATGGGAAGGGTAGCGGTTGTACGCCAATTACCATGTTTCTCTTTTATTAGATAAGATAGTTCAAATGTAGTAAATTTATTTTACTTCATTTATTATCTTCAATCATGCCTATTTTTTTTCTGATACTGTTAAAATAGCCCAGATTATTAAGGTAAATTGAAGTTAATGGGAGCTGTTAAGACAGGAGATGAAAATAATTTCAAGTTTAAAAACCATCCTAATTGGAATTATATGGACATTTTTCTCTAAAAAGGCTAGCTAGGTTCAAGGACCCTGCTAAGAATTATATTTCTAAATAATCTATTTTATAAATTCTTATTCGAAATATAGGAAAAACCCATTTTTTATTTTCAACTTAACCACTTCATAAAATTTGAAGAATAATTTACATTTCATGGTCAATTTTTAATTTCCTATCACTTTAGGCATCAGAGCTTAAAGATTCCATTTAACTAACAAAAAAGCCATTCTACTATAAAGATTATTTAATGTTTAACATTATATCCATCAATTATGAATCTGAAACTAAAACTGTTAAGTTTCAGTTTAACGTGTTTTAAAATCAGTCAAGTATATATGTTAGGGTAGTTTTCAAAAATTGTAATACAACAGCATTAGTAACTATCTTTATTCTTAAATTGACAAAAGCATTTAACACATAGTTTACAGTATAAACAAATTAAGTGCTATACATTTTGCTTATAAAGTGACTTAAAATATTTCAAGCATTATATAATTCCATTTTTACAAAAAGTAAATTTCCAAATAAAACTTTGGTTATTTGGTAGAACTGATTATGTACTGTCAAATCCATTTTCCAACAGTTGTGCAAGGAAAAAAGCTTCATTCACTAACACAGGTATTTCTGTACAAAGCTTTTTATTATTAGTAAGGGGGGAAATAGTATAATAATAACTTTTAATTTCCAAATCTAGATCATTTATATATGGCCAGAATACCATCACTTTTAAAAAGCAAAAATTACGCAGAATGTCACCTTTTACTTTATTCTTAAGAAGGTATTCGATTTAAAAAATAGATTAGATCTGTAAGACTATTAACTTCCATAATTACCAAAAATGCTTTCTAGAAGCATTAATATATTCCATGGGGGGGAGGGGGGATCACTTCTAATTTCCCTTAGGAAGGTATTATTTACTAACACTAGTGCTGAGAATCAAAGTTTATATAATATCTAAAAAAACTTAGCCCAAAACTTAGTATTTTTACAGATTCTACAATCTGTGGATTACCTTCATTCATAAGGAAAGTAATAAAAATGCTAACTTAAATAATATAAAATATCAGTTCAACCAAATTAACAATCACAAAACTATCGACATTGTCTTATTACCATTTTCCAGTCTACTGAGCAATATTTACTTAAAAAATATGATTAGGAACTTAAATATATCCTTTTAAATTTACAGTTTATGCTGAACTGTACACTGATGCTTCTTTTATGATTTTTGAAAGACCTACTTACATAACTATATAATTCCAAAATGGAAAAATGAAATTAACTGGAGACTTAAAAATATATTCCTTCATGGAAATAATTTTTAAATATTTTAAAGTTCTACCTTTAATTATTTGAATTTAGCTTTTTAAAAAGAAACTTTTCATTTCAATTATTAATACTTCAAAACTAGTTTAAACAAACAAAACCAAGGAGAATTGGTAAAACATTCCTTACTTTACATACAATGCCTCAAGTGCCACATAGAGTGATGTATTGCAGAAAAGAAATATAATGGTTTAGCAGGTTACAGAGCAAACCTAAAAGTTTATACTATACTAGACAATGCCTCCCTTCTGGTGTTTATTTTCTTTTAATTTTATCTTGACTGTTTATTATCCTTCTAATATAACTACTGCGTGACATATATCAGATGTCCAAGAGTTACATTTATATTTGTACCTTATTTAATGGCTTTGTAACATTTGAGAACATCCAACCAATCTTTTTCATTAGATACAAAATAACCTACATTTTTTCTCACAAAATGCTTACTTTCCTGAGCTATATGAAACACCTTATAACAGGTATATGTATAACTGAAGACCCTAAAATGTCAAGTTTACATTTAAAAAGAATGCATAGACAACACATTTTGTAAAATCCATTAGTACTCACTTATTGGATATTATAATATATTGGTTTTGTGTCTTCAGACTGTAAAATATTCAATCTTTATAACAGGTTTCAGATTTGAACCAAATTAAAAAAAATCTGTAATCTGACTAAAGAAACAAAGTTTTCCGACCAAAAATGATTCATGGGTCTTCCAATAAACAGTCCTTATATACTCAATACAGATATTAAATTTCTGTTCCACAAAATAGAATTATATTAGAGTTACAGGAAATAAACTTTTATTATAATACAATATGCTTAAAGTTAAGGTGCTATATTATTCATCATTCCTACATCACTTAGTCTTTACCACGTGGGCATCATATCTGGAAACCACACCCTACCAAGATGCTTGGACACTTCCCAATGAATCTGCTCCAAGCTATACGTTTGGTCAGGAATTAATACTTCTTCCATAATGGATAACTGAGACAGGCGGCCACCACACATCTTCACAAACTCAACAAAGGCACTACATGAGACTTCACATTCCCCTAGTCCAATAGCTGACAAATTTTTGCAACGTTCTGCAATTCGAATTAACTCTTCATCAAGAGGCCGTAATCCATTAGCACACACTACTAGTTCAACTAGTCTAGGGCATGTCATTCCCACACGGCCAAGCACATCTTTGCTTACTGATCTCCCAAAATAAAGATGGGTGGCAGGTATTTCATACCGAAAGAATGGATCAAATTCCTCTTCATATAAAAAAAAATACATCACTAAGTTCACTTTGGGTGAATGTCTGATGAAAGCATCCCAGCTGCTCTTCTGAATAGTATGGAAGTGTGTCTGTCCAGGATTCTCACTGACTACATCAATGCGCAAATGTTCTAATCGAACATGTTTTTCAGAAGATAAAGCCAGCAGCAATTCATCACTTAACAAGTGGTAATTCAGGGCTAGTTCACGTAAGCCATGGCATTGATCAGCTACACAAAGGATACCTTGGAAGGAAAAAAGACCTAATTATTTACAAATTTCTGCACAAGGTCATCTGTTCAAAAATTTAATCAAATACATGTCCCACAATAAAATCTTACCATATTTCCTTTATACAAACCTATACAATTTAAAATTTAGTTATATGATTGAACTAGCAGAAGGTAAGTTACCAGTATTTAAATATTAATAATTTTGTCCATAATAAAATGAGCCCAATTTAAATATGACACCTTAGAAAGAAATGAAGCTCACTTATCAACTCAGAAAAATTAATAAATAATTATGTCATTTAAAAATATACAATGACTAAGCAAGGTTTATCCATATTTTTTAAGGAACTGTTTACTAGCACTAAACTTACAGGTTAGGCAAGAAAAATTATATGATCATTGCAACAGAGGTCAAAGGGCATTTTTTGAAATACAAAACCTTAATAAATCTTAATTAAAATGAAAATAAGGGAGAAACCATATGAAATATGATTTATGTAAATAAACCATTTGAAATAAAATACTGAAAAAGTAAAGACATTTTCATCAAATGATCAGTTTAACTGCTAAATAGTATACATAATAAGCATGTCACATTTCTAAGAAAAAAATACCAAGATAAGTAAGTCAAAAAGTAATTACCAACTCACATTAGAGGAAATATACATTATGACTTTGAAAGCTCTAACGTACCCACAAAGCAGTTCCTTAAATGGTTCCAATGTGTAGGGCACTGTGCTTCAAAACTGCCCCAAAACCCTAGCAGCAGATGATTACCAAAGGCTAATATCCAATCTCCAAAGTGGCCTAGTAAGACACACGCTATATACTGGTATACTACTTGATAAGTGACCTATTCAAACCATTTCCTTTGTGTGTTCAGAAACAAGAATGGGAACAACTCACATCATATTATGTACTATTTATTGTACAATAGTATGTCAGGTACTAGATATGTTATACTACAAATACTCAAAAAAGTCTAGCAAGGTAAGTATCCTATTTTGAAGCTGAAGCAGCTAACTTCAAAGAGCACAACTAGAATTCAAACACAGTAGTTACTGCTTAAGGAGTGATAATATTAAGATCACCAATAAGCCAAAAACTTTTTAAAAAATGTTTTATTGATTTTTTTTACAAAGAGGAAGGGAGAGGGATAGAGTGTTCTTAACATCGATGGGAGAGCAACATCGATCAGCTGCCTCCTGCACACCTCCTACTGGGGATGTGCCCGCAACCAAGGTACATACATGCCCTTGACCGGAATTGAACCTGGGACCCTTCAGTCTGCAGGCCGACACTCCATCCACTGAGCCAAACTGGTCAGGGCAAGCCAAAAATTTTTTAATAGCAGGAGAAGACAGGCAACAGAATCAGTGAAGAGATAAACGGAATGGCCAGTTTAAGAGAGTCACCAGAAGAGGGAGTACAAGGTATCTGTGCTTTAATGTTCAGTCACTGCCAAGTGTCTGTCTCCACAAGGTGTGTATACACTATAAGATAAACTCTGACCACCCAAGGTAACCTGAACACATTTTCATTCTTTGCAATCTCATAAACCTAATATAAAAAGAAAAACACATGGGAAATGGTAACCTGAGATGCAAATACAGTGGGGCCTACTTATGAGTTTAATTCGTTCCGAGATCAAGCTCGTTAACTCAAATTACTCTATCAACTCAATGCCAAAAATCAGCCGAGAGACAGCTGGTATCTCAGAAAACTCGTTAGTTGGGACACTCATAAGTCAAGGCCCCACTGTAAAAGAAACCTGGAGATACCATGTAATAATTACTAAAACAGTATGGTAGACATTAATTCTTAAAGTAGTCCCTAAGATTCCATGTCCTAATCCCTGGAACCTGTGAATGTGATTAAGATACCACTCCCATGATTATGTTATACTAGTGGCCTGGTGCACAAAATTCATGCACATTAAAAGGGAATTAAAGAAAATATTTTAATATTGCTATTTGCCCTTTCTCTCTAATAGAAGTGTCAGAGATGAAAGAAAATTAGTAAAATGTATATGAAAATCTCCCTCCTGTCAGAATCAAGTTCCTGCCTCAAAATTACATGAGACCCAGACCCGGACGGCCCCACCCACCTCAAGCCCCACCAGGTCGGGGACAGAGCCTCAGGTCCCACATCAAGCCCTGCAGGCTGAGGATGAAGCCTCCTGCTGATTGCACGTAACAACTATTTGCATATTAGCCCTTTACTATTAAGATATGCATTACCTATGGACACAGACAATAGGGTGGTGAAGGCCTGGGGCAGGGCAGGAACAGGGTGGAGGGGGCAATGGAGGGGGAAAAAGGAGACATTGTATATTCTCAACAGGATTTGACCTGCAGGCTGTAGTTTGCTGACCCATTTTATTTTAAAGAATAGTTTATTGATTTTTAAAGAGCGAGTGAGAGAGAAAGACATCAATAAGCCCACAACCAGGGCATGTGCTCTGACAGGGAATCTGGCAACCTCCTGGTGCAGGGACGATGCCTAACTAACTGAGCCACACCAGTCAGGGCTGCTGACTCCTTTTAAGTAAGTTTGCATTTCTGCTAGGATGTTATCTAAGTCTAAGAAATTTTTTGTTTTGTTTTCTTCATTCTCAGTGTTTTTCCCCAAAAAACAACATCTAATTTTTATTTCACATGTGCCATAGATTCTTCAAAGCCTAAATATAGTAATAATAGTTTTGTTTTTAAATCCCCCACCCCCGCATATTGTTTCCTCAAAACTGTTTGTTTTTGTTATATTAGAGGTTTTTCTCAAATATTGATGACCCCTGGTTATCTGTTCATGCCTAAGAGATTAAATAGCATAATGGATGCCTCTTGAGATTGACCCTGCAGGACTACTAAGAGAGCCAGTTAGTTCCCAGTTCTGCCCAGCCTCCACCACCGATTGATTGGAGTCTGAGGGCCAGGAGGAGGGACCAAGAGGTCTGACTTCCAGCTGCTTGCCAGTCACCTCTGCCACTGATTGATCACCTCCCCCTCCCTCAGCTCCCTAGCCTGGTGGTCAGTCGAGCCTCCAGTCATTGTGGATGTGATGGACCCAGGGTTTTTATATATAGGATAGCATAGCTGGCTTTAAAACAAGATTATTCAGGTAGTCCTAATGTAATTGAATGACCCCTTTAAAACTCCAGTGAAGAAAGGAAGTGAACAGTATTTCCTGTGTGAACACCCAGACATGGAAGAAAACACAAGCATTCTAAGAACTGACATAAATTCAACACAGATTATCCAAGTAAGAGATTATTTTAAAGGTTGAAGCCCAACAGACAGGCAAGGACAATATCATATAGGATCTTGCCAGCCTCAGTAAGGAGTGTGGATCTTATTTAAAGAACAGTAAGAAGTTTCTAAAGAAAGTGGAGGAAAAATACCATCTGATTTATATTTTAGAAAGATTACTCTGGTTGTAGCATGGAAATCAGATTAGAGAAGAGCAAGGGTGCAAGTCAGGAGATCAATTAAGAGGGTATAGCCCAAAGATTGTGGGGCCTAGACTAGAGCAGTAAGAGTGGAGATAAAGAAAGGTACAGTGTCTTAGTTTGTTTGGGCTATTTAAAGTGAGTGGCTTTAAAAATAAACATATATTTCTTACAGTTCTTGAGACTACAAGTCCAAGATCATGGTGCCAGCATGATCAGGTTTGGGTGAGGGCCAGAAGTCCCCCCCACTTGTAGATGGCCACTTCTCACTGTGTTTTCACACGGTAGAAAGAGATCGTCTCTCTTATAAGGGTACTAATTTTATTAATGAGGTTCAACTCTCATGACCTGTTTATTTACCAACCCACCTCCAAATAACATCACATTGGGGATTAGGGTTTCAACACAAGATTGGGGTTGAGGGAGAGGGAACACCACAAATATTCATTCTATGGCATCATAGAGATTCAAAGCATACTTCAGGGATACTGGACCTCAGTGGAAGGAATGTCAAAGTAAAAGTAGGAGGAATCAAGGATGTCTATCAGGTCCCTGACAACCAGTTGGATGATGCCATTCAATGAGGTGGTAAAAAGGGAAAAGCAAATTTGGACCGGGGGTGGGGGGTGGGGGGGAGAGTAAGTTCATTTGTTTGAAGTACTTGTGAGACATTCTAGAGGCACTGGGCCATCACAGCTCAATACACAGCTCTAGAGTTTCAAAGACACCAAAAGTAGGAGGTATTAACATATAGAATGTAACTGAAGCCATAGGCGATGAGAACAGAGCCCCAAGTTTACACAGTACAACAAAAAAGGACCCAATATAGAAGACAGTGAAACATCAAAGTTTAAGGAATGAAAAGAAAACCCAGCAAACAACACACAGTAGAAACAATCTGAGAGGAAAGAGGGAAATCAGGAGTATGCTATCAAAGAGGCTGCTGGGAGCCGGTCCATCCTTGCTGTTTCAAGGGACCTGGCATATATGGCATACTGTTCTTAATATGTTTGCTCACCTTCTTGGCGCTGTGTTTTAACCAAGGTCACCTCTCCGAGAAAGGTTGTTTCCCCAGGTAGGGATTTTCCCCTGAAGTTAGGGAGGGAATAAAACCTCTTAACTAAACGCCCTAACCTTTGGAATAGAGATTGATAGGATTAGAATCAACTGGTATAAATACAGATGCAACAAGACAACAAGAGACAGAACTTAGACAGAGAACTTAGAAGACAGAACCTAGAGACAGAAGAACTTCGCTGGAGAGAACATGGCAAAAGATCCTGGACAGAACCTGGCTACAGAACTTGGTTGGAGAACTTAGAGACAGGACCTCTGAAGAACCCGGCTACAGAACCTGGCGACCGAACCTGGCTGGAGAACCTAGCGAGAGAACATGGCTACAGAACCTGGCTGGAGAACGTGGCTGGAGAACCTAGCAAGAGAACATGGACACAGAACTTGGCTGGAGATTGTGGCTAGAGATCCTGGCAAGGCTGCTGATCAACTGAATGCTGTCTCCGTGTCATTCCTTCTTCGCCAACTCCGTCCACACCTTTGGGGACCCCTG